CATTGGCCTACCGCTTGTACTAATAAAGTGCCAAGGGCCTAAGTGGTCACCTTAATATTAAAAAAAAAAAAAATTTTTACTGATTGACAACCTCCTAAATTATTAATAATTAATAATGATAATGATTATTAATTTATTGATCGATTATTAACTAATAATAACTTAATAATATATGGCACAGCTAATAAGTACAAGATGTATAAAAAACGAAAAGCTGCGTCAATATATTCTCAAAAATTGCTGAAATATTGATGGATTAAAATTTTATTAATCTGTTGGTGGTTTATTTAATTCATTATTTCGATATTATTAGCAATAATCGAAGTTATACTATTAATAATATTAATAACATATTAATTTTTTCATTATTATTAATAACTAAAAACTTGAAGGTCCCATCACTAAAAACAACTTTGGTTAACCTTTAATATAATCAAACTTATTATAATTCAAAGCACTAAAAAACCTTAAATAACATAGTAATGGAACAAAATTTGGTGGTCTTGCTATTTTATCCAATTAATCATAATATTAGTGTGTAATATACAAATTCGGGAGTTACATATTAAAACAACCCATTTTTTGAAAAGTTATTTTATTTGATATCTATGTATGGTAAAATGAGCCACAAAATATAGACTTGAAGTAAAAATTTTATATGTATCGATATTTGTACATAGATTATTAATTTATTTACTCAATGATTTACATGTGTTTTAATATATAAACATCCCATATATAAATATATATATATTCCATTTTTAAAAAAAATGTGACATAAAAACGCTAATTATTAGTAATTAAAAACTCAACCTCTTCTTCACGACTTCTCTGAGCCTCTTCTAATAAAGAAGTAAAACCTTCCTTAGTCATGACCAACAAGGCATTGGCCAACAAATGGTGAGAAATCAACAAATTGTGGACGCCATAGGTTTAATACAAGGAGAAAACCCAACAAGTGATTCTCCAAGTGCCTTTAAATTTATTGACCTCAAATCGATCCATTATTTCATGCTTAGCATAAGCATTCCAATTATACATAGCTAATCTTTCCCCAAAAAGATAGTAGTGTTGAAGTAGCATAACCCAGTTCAGATGGCAGAGTTGAATCCTTATACAAAGGTAATCCATCTGCTGCCCCCAGTCCTCTCCTTCAATTTTTTCAAGTTTCATAGCTGGGTATCCTATCTGTTGGAGATCTTCATGGAAAAGAGGTATCAGAAATCCTTCAGAAGAACCTTCAGCAAGATCAGGAGCAAAGTTAACCTCAACTTGATCTCCTTGAGCATTAAAAAATTCTATTTTAGCATTTGTAACAAGAAGAGTAGCTACATGGGATCTCCTAATATATCTTTGTAATCGATTAATGGTTCTTAAAAATGGTGCAGTTACTTGAAACGATTCTATTGTCTGATAAGAAAGAAAAAAGAAAAGGTTAATCTTGAGAATATTTATAGGCTTGTAGATAGAGGATATAACATATCTTTTTAACCGGTTTATATGCTCTGGCTTCTTAAGAATCTTCTTAATTTCTCTAGGCTTTTCGTTTATTTTCTCACTTATAGTTTCTATAGAAACTCTTGCCACAAACATAATAGACATAACACAGGCTAGTAAATTTTTTGTTCAATTTAGCACTATATGATATTAACAAAATGTGTTTTTTTACAACATTTATCACTTATAGAATAACGCTATATTATATAGCTTTGATTTTTGTTTGTCTTAAGCACGAGTAATATTTAATCTAAAAGCGCGCTTCGGCTAAGCTTTTCAACAAATTTTCGATATACTACAATAATTTATCCTGTTACCAGTCCATCAATTGAGATGATAGGCAGCTGAAATCTTATACTGAATATTTATTATACAAAATAATGAAGCTACCGCTTTATTATAGAATATATTTGACTCAAAAATATTGAGAATTTTCATACCAATAAATAACATTCTCAAAAAAAATAAAAATAAATGCCACTTGTTCAATGGCATGTAATTCAGGATATCTATTTATTTAATATATCAGGTTACTAATTTATTATTTTGATCAATATAATTATAGTAAATGAAGTAATCATGATATAATAATAGCAAAAATGTAGCACAGCCATTAGCGACTATTCATAGACTTCTTTGATAATTAATATAAAAAGTAACAAACAAACAAGATGATTTGGAATCATTCTATTCCTATAAGCCTCAATATTACAGTTTAGTACTACATCTTTTTTCATGATGATCACAGTTTTTTAAAAAAACCATGGTATTGAAAAACAGATCTCGATTGATCCTGCTACTCTCTTTTACTCAATGATATTTGAACCTATTTCTTTCTGGTTCAGAATTTAAATACAGTAACGGATGTACACTAAGCTTTATACTCCTTTTTCTTTTTACTCACAATAGCTTCATCAGGCTTAACCTCAACCCAACCGTTACAGCATTGTTTTAGTCTATTTCTAGACTATCATTCTAGACTTTTATCTACCCTTCTTATCTTTAATAATTGATAAATAAATAAAAAAAATATGCATAAAAATGATGAAATAGATAAATATTGAGATTATTCTATTCCTCTAAGCCCCAATCCCCAATCTTACAATCCAATGCTACATTTTTCATCAACATAGCCACGGTTTTTTAAAAAAAATATGGTATTGGAAAACTGGCTTATTAAGATCTTGATTGATCTATTTAATTTAATGACCCTAACCCGATCTAATTAAATTCGTCATATTATGTGCATAAGCTTTAGCGATTGATATTCAAATTCAAGTTTACTATCAGAGTTAAACTGGACACTATATTCGAATTGCACCCCAAACTTTAGTAACAATAGTCAACTAAAGTGGGCAATTAAACTTTTAGATCAATTTTATAAAAAAAAAGAAAAATCAATGCATAATAAATGATTTATTTTATTTTTATATATAGTGCGAGTGGTTTAGTTACATTATATTACACACCAAAAAAATTAAAACAAGAATAAATAATTTATTCTAGCCAAATAGATTCTGTCATATATTCCTAGTGATTCTAATTGATTAACCGGATAGAATCTCTATTAATCGATGTAAGTACTACCAAATTAGGCTACCGCTTCTTTTATAGTACTCCCTATCGGTATAGTGTTACAGAAGTCTAGATCCTTAGAATGGGAGTTATGTACCTCATTTAATCACTGTCATAAGCCAGTGACCCAGGACCCGTGCTTTTGCCATATTTCATTATTGACTTCTATATAGGTTGTGCGACATATTATTTCCTGGCTATCTTTATTTTTGTATCACCAAATCACTTGCTTCTATACTTTTTGGAATTTTTTTTAGCCGGTTTTCCTTGTTTTTTTGTGCTAGAGGTGTTTTATATTTGGTAAAGCCATTCTCTTACCACAGCTCCTTACTATGTTCACTACTTCTCTCACCACTTCTGGAAATACTACATACAGCCATCCTCCCAATCAAGATCCCAATACCACCTTAGGGTTGTTGGTGCTACCTTGCCAATCGTGAATTTACACACACAGCTTTCTGCAGTAAACCTTTCGTAACCCATGTCACACACAGTGCCTAGTTTTCTCCATTGCTCGAGGCTTCTTCCAAGAATTCTTTATAGGCCAAATATGTATATTATATGGTCTTACCACTACAAGGTTCTGCATTTGAAAGCTCCTAAAGATTACAGAGATAATTAATTAAATTAATTACCACCAGCTATAATTGAACCATTGACCTTGTCTGTGGAGAGTTAAATACCTAGACTACTAGGCTACGAGACTCTAACCTTATTAAAAAAAGTTAATATAAATATGTTTTATATATACTTTATTGTATTTATTTTAAAAAGATTTTTTTTTTTATTCAAGTATTCAGAGACTAGAGTTTATTAATGTTTTAGATATTGGCAGTATATAGACCTTATTACAAATTATATTCATAGTAAGAGTACAACTAGCTACTACACTTTAAGCACTGTATATACTAGATGCCTATACCTGCAGATTACTCATTTAAATTCTCTAGCTAATCCTATCTGTTAGTAATTTTGTTACTCTAGTATTTTTATATCCAAACCTGCTACTAACTTTATCTATATTAGTAATTCTCTAATTACATCTTTTAAAAAAATACTTAATTTTGAATTTTTGATAAATTAAATACAGTTAGACCTCTCTAAATGCACTTTTTATACTCTCTAACAGTGTTGAAAATCAAAAAAATTTCTATGTTCACAAATATTATTTTCTATATTTACAATATGGATATAAAGAAAAACTTTTGTTTTTTAAAAAAATATATATTCACATAAACACTGTGAACATACAATTTCCAACACTGCTCTCTAAATGCACACTCAAGTGCCAGCTCAAAATACATTTGACCTCTTACAATAGTGTCATACAGGTCTGTTTCATCTTTCAATCTATCCACATAATCAGTAGT